ACCTTGCAACACATTTAAAACAAACAAATTCTTTTCTCTGGGTCAGAATTAATAGATGTCACTCACAGCATGTATTTCGAGGATTTATTAATGAAGCAGTACGGCAGATAAGAAACATGTGTGACCATAACAAATTAATACACAATGATCTGACTAATTTCAAAGTGGTTTATATGATAACGTCGAAATAGATGTTCTTTCAGTTGACCGTATTGAACTATTACAGCGCAAAAAAATCAAGGAAATTGAAAATATTCCTTAAGTTTCAATATCTAAACTTAATCCATATGCATGTTAACGTAAACTTTAATAAGACGTAACATAAAAGACTGGAATTTATTGAAGTTTGAAGAAAAATGTAAACACAGGTCAAAGTTGAACTACTTCTTGCGTTTAGCAACCATGCCGAAAGTATCTATTGATGAAGAATTTAGTTGTAAAAAGACATATATATTAATATAGTTAATTATACGGGAATAATATTTATTTTGAATTATATTAAAGTAAAGCATCTTTTAAGATGACCATCCAAAGCTTTATATATCTGCCGAAACACTAAAAAAAAGTATATATAGGGACATTCTTGTATCTTAAGAGGAGTGACTGTCAAGATCTTGGTGCTTGTGGTGCATTATTGTTTCGCAAGATGAGTGACTGTCAAGATCTCGGTGCTTGTGGTGCATTTTTGTATCTCAAGATGAGTGACTGTCAAGATCTCGGTGCTTGTGGTGCATTATTGTTTCTCAAGATGAGTGACTGTCAAGATCTCGGTGCTTGTGATGCATTATTGATTCTCAAGATAAGTGACTGTCAAGATCTTGTTGCCTGTGGTGCATTATTGTTTCTCAAGATAAGTGACGGTCAAGATAAATAAAATTGAAACCCCATTAGCGTATTGTGAGATCTTCAAACTATAATTTAGGATTAAAATTAGTTATAATTAAAGCCCTTGATTCTCAGAGGCAGAGCTGGGGACGGTGCCGGGCACCCCTTTTGAGGGAAAAAAATGGTTGATTATATAAGGAATCAATGAAACATGACTGGAGCGGCCCCCCTTATGCAGTCCGTGGACCCCCTTATGAAAATTTCTGGATCTGCTACTGATTCCAGAATCTTGTTGGATTATGGAGGACAAATTTAAGTCATGCTACAATAAAAATAATTGAACCATAAGGTTTTCAAACAATTTATGAAAGGTTTTGGAAGTCAAAATTTTGTAAGCGTTTCACACATATGAAACTTTTTATTTTCAAGTTAAAGAGGGAGTTGACAATTTAGAAATGCTGCACTTACAATTTTTTTTTTGTAGATGTCTTACAAATAAACCCGTGTCGGAAATTACATATAACCGGGTATAAAGAATAAACATGCCTTCGGTGATTCAAGCTAGTTTGAAATAATAAGAGGTGAGTATTGAAATAATATATATCATTGTTTTTCCATATTACAAATTGTGTGTGATTTTGTCACTTTGTCTCTAAAATCTTTTTTTTTTTTAGAAATATTTTTATTTTCTCATGTCTGAACTCAAGGTAAAAAAAAACACATGGTCGCTCTAAATAGATATTTAAAGAAATAGCAATAGCATTGCACAGAGATTATAAGGGCCCTGCCAAATGGCGGACGCCCTATAGTGATCAATCTGTCTGTCCGTCTGTCCGTCCGTCCGTCCGTCCGTCTGTCCGTCCGTAACACATTGTGTCCTCTCTATATCTAGAGAACCGTTATGATTCCAAAGTTTATACTTGAGATGTATATTAACCAACACCAGAGGGTGTGTCAAAATGAGTGTACAACTTCCTAGGTCAAAGATCAAGGTCAAAAACTTTGGTTTCAGTTGAGAACCCCATGGCCTATGTATGGTAAAGAGCGTGTCCGCTCTATATCTTGAGAACCGTTATGATTTCAAAGTTTATACTTGACATGTATATTAACAAACACCAGAGGGTGTGTCATAATGTATGTACAGCTTCCTATGTCAAAGGTCAAGGCCAACAACTTTGGTTTCAGTTGACAACCCTATGCCCTATGGTAAAGATCGTGTCCGCTCTATATCTTGAGAACCGTTATGATTTCAAAGTTTATACTTGACATGTATATAAACCAACACCAGAGGTTGTGTCATAATTTATGTACAACTTCCTAGGCCAAAGTTCAAGGTCAAAAACTTTGGTTTCAGTTGACAACCCCATGTCCTATGGTAAAGATAAAATAATGTTATGCACATTATTCACAGCGGGGCCCACAGAGATGGCTCCCATCTCAATGATATCTAGTTTGTTTACATATAACAGTAGTATTCTTTATTAGAGCCGCATAATGATATTTACGAAGTTATGATAAAGATAGCACATGTTTTTTCTGTTGCAGATGCTGTAGTTACAAGTGACTAATGTGCAACAGAGACCACAATATGGAACTACTGTGCAAGATACCTAAAATATGCCCCTGTTATATATCTGGGAATGTGTCTAGCAGAAGGACTAAACTTTTAAATAAAATTAATTGTTCAGTTTGTGTTTGTTTAAAATTGTAAGATGCATATGTGAGCAACTTGTTATATAATTACTGTTTTATGTCACAAACATATTTTGTGTATTAACAGAATAGTTATAAGCACAACAAGATCCTGTCTATAAAGAACAATAAAGTTACAAAAATGTATGCCAACTGACATTACAATAAAGTTCCCGATTATCTATGCCTAGTAAGGTTAACATGGTTAATAAATTGTTCCTGTTCTTCTTGTCAAGTCTTGAATAATAAACATCAGATTCAGAAATGAGTGGTCTTCTTACCAGTATTACCGAAACAAAGAGAATGACTTATTTTCCACTTGATCATAAAATGTAGAGAAATTTAAAAAGGGAAATATTCGAACAGGCAGAAATTTCAATGACATAAATATTGAATTCTGCAACAGACTACATGTACATCAACCACCGACGCATGACTACTCCCACTTAGTACATATAGTTTTGCGATAGTTTTTTTACACATAAAATGGTATTGATGGATATAATAAGGGGTAATGATTTCAGCTGTTATCAAACCTCAATTTAGCCAATGTTCAACATCCTATTCTCAACCACATTTCTAGTTTCAACTTCAATTAACTCTAAAACAGTCTACCTGGACCCAACTCCTACCTATTTTCAACATACACTTACCACAGTTCAACCAGCTTTCGACATGATTTCAACATACACCGACCACAGTTCAACCAACATTCGACATGTTTTCAGCATACATTGACCACAGTTCAACCAGCTTTCGACATGATTTCAACATACACTGACCACAGCTCAACCAGCATTCGACCTGATTTCAGCGTACACTTACTACAGTTCAACCAACATTCGACCCGATTTCAACATACACTAACCACAATTCAACCAGCAATCGACTTTTTTTCAACATGCACTGACCACATTTAGACCAAAATTCAACCTATTTTCAACGTTGAAAGCTGACGTTGTATCAACGTTATGTTTTCAACGTCATATCAATTTTCAATCCAACACTACTTTTCAACATTGATTCAACGTTGAAATCTGACGTTTATTCAATGTTGAATCAACGTTGTTGTGCCTGCTGGGGACAGTTATCTTTTTTTCACTACTGATCAAATGAATATTATGGACCACTAAATATGACTTATCTGTTGTCAGAGCTTTCAAAATACGACTTTTTTTAGACTAAATAAATGGTGTCTTGGTAGCCTGGACTCTTTATTTGTAATTTATACACTGAATAGTCAAATCAAATGATCAATTCCTATCAGTTTTTTGCCTTTAAAATAAAATAGCAGTCCTATTTCAGATAGGCTTCAAAGGTAACAATTATATAGCTGTGGATTGAACGCAAAAAATAATAATGGGTTTGTCAGTTTACTATCTTCTTGTTTAAAAATAATAATTTCCTGCTGGTTCTGTTAATAAGCAACGCAAAGAAGCAGTTTTATAAATATCTTTTGTCATTCATAATTTGATATATATTGCATCTCCAACCAGGCAGGACTGTTTAATTTCTTTTGTAATAGATATTGATCACTAATTATTGACAAAGATGTTATGAAATATAGTTTCAAATTGTTCTTAAAGCTTAGAGGACAGAGAGAAAAAAGGGGATTGGGTTTAATTTTTTATGATACAGCAAAGTTTTATTGTGAGAAGGCATTTTTCTCATAATTTTTTAGTTCTTCACAAATCATGTCAGAATTATCGTTGTTGTGCATCTGTACATCTTGGTGTCCATCTAATTACTTTTGTTCTGTAATATAAGGAGTGTCAGTTCTTACTTAATTTGAAGACAATTTTCTTTGAATACAATAAAAGATTTATTGATGCTTTATGATACAACTGTGATGTTAATGTTGCTGTTTCATTGACTTACATCATAAGCTTTTATTCAGTGGCATTGGATTTAAGGATTTTGACTTTAAATTAATTAACAGATATTTGTGACAGTAAAACCAAGCCAAACTTAAAATACCATTACTAGTATCTGCATCTAATGCAAAAGTATCACATAAATTGAAAGTGCAGTGTAATATTGTTCTGGTCTTTTGAACCTTACCGGTATGATGTCTTCAATATGATTCTGGCATTAAATGTGAGCACCAGACAATTGTAGGCTTCATAATATATGTATGCTTCAGAAAAAAATAGAGTTTGACAAAAACGATAATTTAAAGTTAGACTTCTGCTTATTTTTGAAAAAATCACTTAACAAAAATTCTGTATTTCAAAATGTTGGCTTCTCTTTAAGTTACGGATTGGTAACAGATGTGGATCCAGGATTTTGAAAAAGTTTGGAGTGGAACAGGTTAAAAGTCTAGATTAACCATAAATGCAGCTCCATAAAGGGGAGGGGTGGACACTCCAAGGCCCCTAAACTGGCCTCTTGGTAAACCTGGAGTTCTCAAAATATATATGATGTTGTCCAATCAAAATTATGATAACAAATTAACTGCATTAGCTAACTCTATATAATTCCAGGTATGTATCTGGATTATGCTTGAATATTTGCAAGACACAGAAAGAGGATGCAGTGATATATAAGATGTTCAGTCTTTGCAGACATTTTCCTTATTTGTTGTGTGAGTTCTTTTGTTGATTCATTTAATTGAATTGCCTTTCAACTTTTTTTCATGTTAGAAAATTTCATTTGCTTCTGTTATTGAAACGATAAGAGTTTTTCCCTCTGAAAACTATCACTTCTCTGAGAAAATCAAACCATTAACTGCTATATTAGGAATTTTAAATTTGACTGACTGGCTTAATTGAATGAAATCAAGAATCACATCAGTGCATTAAAGAGATTAATTTCGATAAGAAGTTGAATATTTGTATGAAATTTGACATTTCAGAAATTGTGGTAAAAAGTAGTTTTTAACTGAAATGCAATTAAAAAAAGTCCAAATCAGGCCTGATAAATAGTCAATTTAATGTTTATTCAAATGAAAAATTGGTCAAGTATAATTGTATGACAGTGAAATTGACTGAGTTGTGCATTAGTTCCTGCGTTAATAATCATTTATAAATCTGAAATTGATTAAAGTCTCTGTTTCTTCCTTATGAAAACTAGCGTAGTTGCTCTGTAGGTTTTAATGAAATTTTTCTATTTACATACAACTCTTATAAGTACAAATACAGTCTGCTAACCAAAATCAAGAGAATAGTTAGAACTAAGAATTCAGGAAAAAAATGGCATAGAAGGCTTGAAACTTCAATTATCCATCACTTTACATTGTTCTTCATAGCATTTTGTCACATTGAAAAATATGCCGTTCACGTCAAGAAATAATTTCAAGTCAGTGATCAGTTATTGTCACCTGGCATTTTGTGCAATAACTGACTCATTGCATTTATATGGCATGCAACTGTTATCTTAAGACAATTATTTTGATCATTTGTGAAACCTTTGTTTATCTTGATTCCATTTATACAGGAAAATGGTTACTTTTAGGATTTTTTTTTAACACGTAGGAAGATGCATGTGCAGGGACATATGACGTCATTGCTTTATGGCATCCTTGATTTTGGAAAACTGAATGTTTTAGACAAACAGCAATGAGATGTATAAGACTTGTATTGTCTTTTCTAAATTAAAATAATATTATAATACCTCAAGTACATTTTGTAGCTATAAGAGACAGATTTTCAATAACGACAATTTATTTTTGTCAGTTTTTTGTTTTCTCATTCTGACTTTCCATTAATTACGGTATTATGGTGATATCAGAAATACTGAGAAGTGAAGTACAGATTTAGTTGTTTGTAATCTATATTATGTACATTGTTTCACTTGCCTTTTTATATATATTTTAGTAAACTTCTATTATCCATTCATGGAATGTTTGTCCTCAAATGATATATTGTCTTTTAATATTCTTTTGTGCATCTTTCTCCTGATACCAGTTTACTCTGCAAATTTGTCCAATAATGATGCTGTAACGAAGAAGTGATTAAGAGAGCTTTGGGTTAATTTGTCTCTTTGAGCACTTTCTAGTATCAAAATATATCATCAAAAGTAATTTGCTTTTAGGGCAATATTTGGATAGGAGTTTGAAGGATTGATTAACTTGTGAAAAGTGTATTGGTTTCAAATTAAATGTGAGGTGGTGGGAGATATAATGTTAAGAAAAGCTTACAATTAGAGTTTGATCAAACATGAACACTACGTTCATGTAAACATTTAAAATCTAGGATGGCTGTCAGGACAAAACTCTGTAGATATGCAACTTGAGGAAGTGTCACCACAATCCATTTTTAAGTAAAAATAGCTTATTTATGTAGATAAGGGGAAAAAGGGGCAAACAGATAGATATTTTACCTATTGGCATGGAAAGTGAGAATTCCTTTTTAATATAAACAGCAGTAAAATTAAAAAAACAAAACAGCCATAATATCTATTTTTACCAAACGCTTCGTGGAACTGATGTTATTGAGAAATTACAATAGATAGTAATTAGCTAAAATATGATTATACTTTGCTACCTGGCATTAGGCAATTAAAAATCAATCAATCAATTAAATATGCTTAGGATAAACCACTTTGTAGGGCTGTAATGTTATATGGTAAGCATATTATTACTTGCCTTGTTCATCAGCACATGTGGTTCATCAGTATAAACACCCGCAAATGGCATTAGCATAGAAATATCATTGACAACCAAAGTAAACATTGAACATATTCAATGAAATATTTTTGAATTACATTAAGTTTTATAATTCTATAGCTGATTTACCCCTGCATTCTAAAATGATTTTGTTGTAAACAAACATGGGGTGAATGTGAGAGACCTTCACAATAAAACAAGCAATGTCAGTTGTATTTTGAACAATACTGGAGATCAGAATGGAAAGTTTTGTGGGGGTTATTCTCTAGGAAATTCAATAGAAAATTTTAAAAAGTAAGTCTATTGTTTTTATAATTTTTAATTGTTTTTCTAAATCAGTTTTGTGTCATCAAATCAAAATGGTTGTCTTTTAATAAATTAATTGATTGTTTTTTGCTTAATGTCCAGTGGAAATTATTCCATTGGTTACTTCGGAATGAGTCTGCCTTTAGAACATGTCTTATATAAGTCTACTTCTAAAAACAAATCTGAATTTTCTTATTCTTTCATGTCCTGCATATTTAACATGGGTAGGCATCATATTTGTCTACATTTACGAGATTTAAATGAAAAAAAATAGAAAAATGACTATCTTAATACTACACATATTTCAACTCTCAGAGTTGTCCAAGGCAATCAGAAAACATGGAACCAAATGACTATTTAACTATAAATTGCTAATTTGATGCCATTAAGGAATTACAAGATTTTAGGAAAGTTTGCCAAAAGTATATATATAGTTTTAACTGAAGTGTTATAGCGAAGGCAATCAAACCTTTCCCCAGAATCAGTTGGAGTTTACCTGTCCATTTGAATTTTTTGCTAAGTTTACTGTTCCAGTAAAATAAATACAAAAGCAATTGTTCTCTGCAGAGTTCATTCAATGGGAAATTTAAATTTCTCCTCGAAAAAATCATTCATTGATTAATTTGGATGTACAAAAATAAACTAGTAATGAAAAACATGTACCAATACTGAATAATGATACATATTGTAAGAGCAAGAGATAATAACTACAAAATTACAGAATTCTCTGTAAAACAGTCAAAAAATCATAAATTAGTTTATACAGAAATTTAACAACTTGTATTTCTTGTTGGATAAATACAGAGCTTCTGGTAACCTGTATCCATTTTAATACTGCATTTTCTGAGGATTGTAAAGATTTATATTTTGAGTGACAATTCAAATTTTAAATCCTTTCATTTAGATTTTCAACTGAGATTGATTTGCATATGTAAACCAATCATTGGTTTCATTTACAATTGTTAGATTGTAACTTATCAGTAAACATCAGCACTGAAGTATTGAAAGTCACATCTGATAAAGCAAAAATCTGTTAGATCTTTCAGTGGCTAACTACTGTGAATGCTGCCTTTATTTGAAACCTCTATCTTTACTGTAACCTGGAATTACTTTGGTCTATCAGCCATCAGTCATCAACTCAGTGTGTAAGACACAAAATAACCACATGGTATATACAATGTATACTGAAAATGAAAAGCGTGCTGCATGTATGCACAGTAATTTTATTTCCTTCAATAAGAAGTTTTGATCTTTAAATTAGAAAGTTAAAGCAGTGTGTCAAATTTATATGACATTAACAAACTGCAGCACTTCAATAAATTTTAAGATAATTTCTTTCACTAACTGACACAGGCTATACAATTGTTGACATTATTGCTACCGATCTGCTGGAATTAAATATCACCTTTACTTTCCCAATTCAAATTAAAAAGAAACACATTTTAGTTCTTTCTGGCAAATAACCATCAGTTTCAGATTTTTTGCTTAATTTATTAGTAATTTGTTTCCACTTTATTGTCATGGGTTCTTTGGAGTTGATGGTTATGCATTTGTCACATTAAATTAATGGTTTACTTTAGAAAGACATGTTCTATTATAATCAGCAAAAACTATCTCTACTTCTTGCATTGAGTATATAGCTATGCATTTATGATTTATTCTTAAAATGAAATAAATGTCTGCACAGAGTTGCAAATTGAAAGGAGATGATAAACAACTCATTTACTGAAATACGAAATGGTCAAATGATCTACTGATATAGTTATTAGAACCAGGACTAAAACTGTTCTTACATCTTATATTTAGCAAAGCCTAGGGCTTTCCATAAGATCAGATATCAAGGAATTCCAGTTTGATAAACCTATTCTAAATGTCAGACTTTCTTAATTACGTCAATTTGTATATTTAAAAACAAAATGGATAATTACTACAAGTCAATAACCTGGAAGACAGGAAGAAAGGAAAGACTTCAGTAATGTGATACTTGATAGCAGCTGATATTATTGTCTTAATAAGGAATGTAAATTTATTGTAGGAATTGTGATCAAATGATGCCAGTGGGAAAGTTCACTTTTTTAAAAGTTTGTCCTGATGAAGTTTGGTATTTTTTTTGTCAGAAACATGACAATTATAACAAAAAATTACATTGAATGATGGTTCTTTTATCCCAAAAATATATATAATTTTCTAGTTGCAGTACTGCCAAACTAGGTTACATTTTATAATGAAAGACAACTTGATTGTACAGGGCAACGTTGACGCAGAAACTGTTGAAGGTTAAATGGTACATGCATCATCAATTCATAAGGCAAATGTTTAATTGATATAATTGGTTGCTCATCAGCAAAGGTCTGTAGCATATGGACAATTATATTTGCCTATGATGTCCTCACACCTTGAACTATTTTAATATGATTTTTTTTTGTCATTCAGGATTTGAATTAAAACTAATCAATCACATGTGCAGAAGTTCTTTGCTAGGAGACAGTTTATATGAAATTTTCCAAAGTGAAGTGGAACTTTTATAGGTCAAGAAAACTAATACTTTTTCTCTTGGCATTCAGATGCAATTACTGCTCATATCACATGGTGATTGATGATGGACTTTTGACACTTAAAATGAATTATGGGTAATATTTGTAGATAAACCAGTGAGCAGGGGAACAGATCAATTGTAGCTAGCAATTCCTTGTATAGTATAATTAGAGGGACCAATTACCAATTGAAGTGATACATTTATGTTATAAATTAACAATTTGAAAGTGATGATTATAACTTAGATTGTATATTGATGATTTACTCATTTGCACTGCAGAAAATTTGAAATCAATATTGCATTTGATAGTTTAATGTTTCATTTTTTGCACTGTGTTAATGCAAGTTAAATTAGATAAAGGCTAACATTATTTTGATTTGTTGATCTCTAGTTAATGACACTGCTGTAAAAGAAGTAGAAAGTCATTTAAATTCAATTGAGGCTTACAATTGTAGTAAATAACACATATAGGTTCCATGTGAATACTGTTCTGCTTAGACACACAGATGATTAGGTTCTTTAAAATGTTTATCAGATGACAAGCATAATCATAAGCTCTCATATAATTATTGAAAAATTATTTTTATCAAAATTATCGGAAAATATTGGATACTTTCTGGTAATATGGTGAAGAGTTCATCAGTCATGACTTATTGACTTCAAGTTGCATGGAGTGATAAATCTTAAAATGTGAGTCCTCTGAGAAAGGTTATTCCCTATATAATGATTATGTTTCATTTTTTTACTTTATTCTAGAGTAGTAATTTCTTTTGACCTTTACTCCCTATAAGAGGCCACCAATGTTGAAAGACCACATTTTCTGTGCTGAAGGAGTGGTCTGAAAAGGGGTATCATTTTTGTTACAAGAGAGACGAAAGATACCAAAATAACATTCAAACTCATTAGTCAAATAAAATCTGACTTATTATTCCATAGCAAAATACAAAAAACGACCAAAAGACAGACAACAGTATACAAAAACACAAGACACATATTGCTAGAATAATCTCCCTACTGAGACTGTCCATAGTTTCTTGCATGGTACCCATCCATAGCTCCTTAGTAAGACAGATAAACTGATGATGACCTCTGTAGGAGTAAATAATAAGACGTAATTTAGATTGTGATGCCTCCATTGTCTTTACTAATAGTGTCCGATATATCTCTTACATCTACATTAGCTTTTTCCGGTCAGCAACTTAAACTTGTACAAGTACATAAATCAAATAACACATAATCCATTGCCTAATTTCCTGGATAGTTTGTGTCATATAGATTACATCTTAGAGAAAAAGTTAAGTGTCAGACAATTTATTGCCACTGCTTTACAGATGATATATTATTGATTCTATATAAAGTATGTCAAAATTATAGGACCTGATTTTTTCGATTACCTTATGATTATGATATGTATATGAATGTCTGTTTATCACAAGTTGTTTGATTTTGTTTTTCAAAAATTACATGTTGTTATGATTGCTCATTGTCAGCCAAATTTTTATACGCCCGTCAAATTTTTGACGGGACGTATTATGTTATACAAATGTCCGGCGTCGGTCCGTCTGTCTGTCCGTCTATCTGTCCGCGTAAACATGTCGCACCGTAACTTGAGAATGACTTATCCAAATTTCATGAAACTTAACATAGTTGTTTCTTATGATGGTCTAACGATCTGTATACTTATTGGTGAAAATAAGATTAAAACTTTTTGAGTTACGGGACTTAGTAACTAAAACAGGTGTGTGTTTTTTTTCACATGTCGCGCCGTATCTCAAAAACAATTTATGATTATTGCTTAAAACTTTACACACTTCTTAGTTATATTAATCTTAAGATCTGTATACTTTTTGGTGATGATTCAAAATTTTATTTTTGAGATATTGAGTATTTTGTTAAAAAAGGGGGAGGGGTTTTTTCACATGTTGCGCCGTATCTCAAAAACAGTTTATGATTATTGCTTTAAACTTTACACTCTTCTTAGTTATATTAACCTTAAGATCTGTATACTTTTTGGTGATGATTCAAAATTTTATTTTTGAGTTATTGAGTATTTTGTAAAAAAAGGGGGAGGGGTTTTTCACATGTCGTGCCGTATCTCAAAAACGGTTTATGATTATTGCTTAAAATTTTACACACTTCTTAGTTATATTAATCTAAAGATCTGTATACTTTTTGGTTTTGATTCAAAATTTTATTTTTGAGATATTGATTTTTTTTTTTTAAAAGGGGGTTTTCACATGTCGCGCCGTATCTCAAAAACTATTTATGATTATTGGTTAAAATTTTAAACACTTCTTAGTTATATTAATCTAAAGATCTGTATACTTTTTGGTTTTGATTCAAAATTTTATTTTTGAGATATTGAGTTTTTTGTAAAAAAAAAAAGGGGGTTTTCGCATGTCACGCCGTATGTCAGAAACTATTTATGCTTATTGCATAAAAATTCACACACAAGACAACGGGCGTATCATGCGCTCATGGCGCAGCTGTTTATTTATGTTGGAATTCAACACCATAAGAAAAGTTCTGTGTATATGATGACATGGTACTTGTATCGCCTTATTTGAAACTGTTTACTGAATTTGCTGAATTGAGATTAAGTTTATCATTAAGCTGTAACATTACTTTCATACTTGCATTATGCGGTTATTTGCAATTTATGTTAAAATATTCTACAAAGGTTTGAATTTTATACACCAACTATTGGGAAGAAAAAATGCATTCCATTCGTGACAAAATTCGACATCAAATTGCTTTTCAATTCTTTAAATTTTTGGATAGACTATGTTGTTGGCCATGCAGTTTCCTATAATTTCGTACATTTACTTTATTTGGCCACTGGTGGATAGTTGTCTCATTGGCAATCATACCACAACTCCTTATTTTTATATGTTGCAAAAATTTGGTTTTTAATACAAAATCACAAGTTGCCAATATTATTGGGTGGAATTTTAGCATCATAATGCAAGCAAGATTGATAAATGTTTTTTTTGTAATGAAAAACTATATTTAGATAGTTGCATGTAAACTTGATAAACCAAAGGTCATTTTGTTGTGACTTGGCTATTATCCTTAACAAAGAGAGAAATAGATAATGTTTCCATGTAGGAGGAGAAGCCTTACTTTATCTTCAACTTTAATATACTTGTCTTGTAGAAGTGCTTTAATAAGCCTGTCATTGTTGAAGTAGAGAGTACAAGAGTTTTGTATTTATATTTTCAGACCAATATAAATGGTGAAGATTGTTGTTCAGAAGACTATAGAATGTAAAACCCAGTATGGAATATGGTATCCTAACTGGAACAGCATCTGACGTTCGTCACTTCTTCCTTGTTGTCACATGCCTTGTTTCTTTATCTGCTGCACAGTACAGCTGGAGACCAGGTAAACTTATGCACATATATATATATTTGCTGCTTAAAATCTGAAAATTGACTCAAAACTATAATTTTTATTGCTGTTCTTCATCTGGAAAGTATTTTAAGTGCTTCCAACAGCAAATTAAATGAAATGTTTTGCTGTTTATCATAGTCTCTAAACATGATCATTTTATGTTTTATAGTATTTTGTTATTACTATGCCATCAATGTTTAAATATCATATTCCTTGGTACTAAATTTTTTTTATTTGATGAAAGGAAAACATTGTAGCTATATCAAAAGTTTCCATAAATGTGTCATATAACATAAGATGTGGTATGATTGCCAATCAGACAACTAACCACCAGAGACCAAATGATGTAGATGTTAGCAACTACACTGTACAGCCTTCAACATTGAGCAAAGCCTATACATGTACTGCTAATGCAAGCTAAAAAAGTGCCCTGACATAACAAAATGTAAAACAAATGGCTTGATTGATGTACAAAACAATAAAAACAAATATAATATGCATCAACAAATGAAAACAACTGAATTACAGGCTCCTGACTTGGGATAGGCACATACAAAATATTGCGGGGTTGAACATGTTTTCGGATGCCCAATCCTCCCCCTAAACTAATGATCAGTGTTGTAACAGCACATCACTCTACAAACTTTGTGCATTACATATTTTTACTTCCTTTTAGGATAATAATATAATTTGCATTGTATTTAGAACTTTATTGATGGGTGGCTTTAAAATCAATACCATCATCATGCTGTCTCAGTTTTATGTCAAGGAGCATTTTGTCTTTAGAAGACCTTATAATTTAAAAGGAGCAGGCTTCATAATAAGGTATCGCTGCAAGAACTGTGAACATGTTTCTTTTTATTCTATGTAAATTGATTTGTATACAAATATTAAATACACCTATGAGGGCGTTAGCCGGATTGGTTGTATCTAATTTACACCAGGACATTAATGATAGTTTCCCATAATTTAGCAGGGGGGTCTTTCATCGATTTGACCATATGTTATGGAAAAGCACGATAAATGCAGGGTATCCAATTTCATTTAACGACATCTTGCAGTAAATTAGATTACATGATTTTCCTGTCAGATATGTTAGCAGTTTAGTGATATTAATCAGGAAGATCTTGAGGAAATAGAGTACAATCAGAAATTTTCAATAAGCCCTGCTGTTAATACGAATATAATCTTGTGGTATCTGTTTTTGATATGAATGGAAAAGTTACAAAAAGTTACCAAATGTTGTTTATTGTGTTTGTCAGGGTTATTATGTGATTATAAACAACTTAATCTCTTTTTTTTTTTTATTTCATAATCATGAAAATTTATAATAATTATTACATCCAACATGATGATATGTGTTTTTTTTTTTTTACATCAGTTATAGAATATAAATGAATGAATCATGCAATTATATTCTATAATTATTTGTTTAATATGTATGACCAGTCACCCAAACAATATGAATGTTGTACGTTCACTGCTGTTTATTTGTTGTATGTTATTTATTGTAAATATTTGTGTTGGAATTCTACCAAAGATTGCACATATCTATATCATATCTGTCTGATATGTCAGAAACACTATTTATATAACAGTAACACTTTCTTTTTCATAAAATAGGTGCCTAGATTCTGACGCAGTAATTGTCATCTTTTCCTTCCTCTTCAAAAGTCTCTACGGTATCCTCATTTTGGTTATTGCCCAATATATTAGTTAAGCCTTTACCTCCGTTTTAGCAAAGTTGGCCTTTAACGCCTTTTTCAAGTTTTTAGACTCCTTTTGAATACGTTACTTTTTTTGTTGTTATTTATTAATCTTAGGATTTGCATGGGATCTGAATGTTGCTGGTGATGATTAATCTGGATAAGTGCTTCGAATTCAACAATTTTCTCTGTTTCTCTTAATTTTGAGTTAGGTTATTTAATAACTTGAAAGTGATTGGTTTATTTGTCGAAGAATAGTTTCCTTTTCTCTCTATATAAGAACAATTTTACAGCTATTTAAGGGGGGGAGGAAACTAAAGGTTACTGAGATAACAAATAACCATGCCTATAATTGCTTACATCCTCATTTGAACTTGGGTGGATAGTTAGTCTCATTGGCAATCATACCACATCTCCTTATTTTTATATGGGCATATATGACCCAAGAAAACAGTTATTTCATAGTGTATTTCTTTAAGACAACAAATACAAATTAAATCAAAGTACTGAAGTACTGAACATCGGATGACCGCAGGTTCTTGTGGATGGTCAAAAGCACATGTCACAGAAATAGATCACATCTCTATACCTGAAACTGAGGTTAATTTACAGAGATATATTTTTTTCTGATACAAGTTCGTGCATGGATGATGAATAAATGACAGGAAATTCAACCGCACCGTAATAACTATTATATTGTAGCTGAGACTACTATAACACATGCGTTATAGTAGTCTCAGATTGTAGTGATACAAATCAGTATACCTGGGACTATTATACTAATATGATAATAGTGTCAGAGTATACACGTCTGGTTTGTTGTTATATATTATATTAATATTACGGTTGCATGTATATATAATTTTCATCTATTTATATATCATTCTATTCTACTATTCTAATTATAGTGCAGTGCAAGTGCATTGTGGACACTCTTCTGTAAAAAAATCGATTTTTCTAAAAGATTAATTGGATATGAGAAGCCATTCATATTTTCCCGCAAAACAATAACAGAGTTATCGGTCCTTGCCGGGAGTGTCGCAAAACGTTCTTGAGATATTCTTCCGTAAGCTTTAACACAATTTTTTCGGTACGTGTGCATTTATATCATCAATGATTTTTTACTTTTATATGATATATAACTAACGACAACACATTTTCATATTATTAATTTGTGTTTTAATAAAAATATTTATAGGAGTATCCATTGAAAAAATGAATTTGAAACAAGCGATAAGTAATGTTATTTTGCACTAGATAAGTGACCGCGGATCTATAATTTTTATAGATCGGTTGAAAACTCAAAACTAATTTGCATAATGGATATTTAGGCGATAGCAATACATCGATATGACCTCACGGTCATCGCGATGTAAAAAATCACTACTGTTTTATCTCGAAAATATTTTTACAGGTTTTTTTTTGTAATTTTTGTAATTTTTCATGATGAAACATGTGAAATTACATACTACAGTATAAGACACAAATTATAAAAAATTGTAAGATCGATCAAGTCGTAAAGATATAATAAGATATAAATATGACAATTGTTGATTTTGTTATTAATTAAAAGCTGCTTCTAACATGTCTAACAAATGCCACTTCTGATCCATTTTTACTTTTTGTACAGGGGTTAAAAAACATACAGAGTATTTTTCTATATTTTTCCAATATTTTAAATATTCCATCCCACCATATTTTTACAGTTTAGTGTACTACTTTTGTGACAAATTATATCAAAATTATGGAAAAATTCTACTAACTCTAACTCAAAATATGAACAATTTTATGTTAACTCATTCGACCCCAAAAGATATTTTCTGGTGGGTTTGAACCCACCCCTACTGAAAAATGGTCATTTTCAGTCAATTTTTCAATTTTGATACGACCTTGAGAGGTGAACATTGACTAAACTGTGTTTCTTTGTCATTCAAGTACTTCCATACAGTTACAGCAGTCTATCCATACTGACTGGAAGTAAATGTGACTTGAGAATCTTGCTGGGGAATTATTATTGGCTAGCCAAGTATGCCTAAATGTCCATTTTTACCGATTTCTGACAAAACGGAGACCTAGATTTTACAGACCAGATTTCTTTTGGCCATATTATACCTCCTTGTGTTCCTGTACCATCTATGCATGTATTTATGATAATATTGACTCCTACAGCCCATACCAGTAACGTAGTGGCCATAAAAAGACTCCCACCCCCACCTGATTTTGGCTAAAAAGGCCATTAAAGTTGCCATATTTTCATAATCATACATCTGAGAAGAGTTTATGGACCATGAATTGCATGGTTGAAGTCCCTGCTGTAAAGACAGTTGAGCTGGGGCAGTTCTAAAAAAGTATGGAGGGTCATACAGGCTATCAAAGAAAGGTGGTCGCCATCACGACTACAGGCGGGATTGGGGGTGAAGGGGTTAAGGGGGTTTACAATTCAGTTTGACAGCATCAACTGGAACAAATCTCTACTTTACCTAAAAATTCATGACCAAAATATTTTTGACATGTAATTTCATCTCTCTACTTCCTATTTTATGCATAAAATATTAAAAAAGTAATTTGGAAGGTGTATGAAAAAATTTATACACTTTTCACACTAGGGACAATATTTGTATACCATGAAAATCAAAGGATGATAACTGTGTCCCCATACCATATACTGCAAAACTGGAATGCGAGTAGGTTGTACACAGTATGCACCATACTGCTCTCATTAATGACTACATGTACAACAAAGCTCAAACCAATATACAATAGGAAATGCTGTGAACTTGTAAAAAATATTAATTGTTCAGTGAAAAATACCAACCAAGTCTCTGAAAAAACCTGGCCAAAAGGAATAAAAACAAATGTGTAGACTAGCAGTTGTTTTTAACATCAGACATTATATCTGTCATTTACTTAATGAAGTGCAGATCAATCATTTTTGTGACTGTATGCAATCACTTGATGATTACCTACCTAATCATGGATAAAAAGAAGTGTCAATAAGACAGCAATCTAGCAACAGAAGTTAATAAAAAAAGATACATTGATAATGGACAATTAAGGGTAACAGACAAGTGTCTCACTTTGAGGCAATCTTTTATTTACCCTGAGACTAGACACCAACTGAGATTGATAAATTTTGGAAAGAATGTGGTGGAGATACACAAGTGTTGTCAATACTCAACCTTCCTGTTTTATATCAATTAGTGAAATAATAAATGATTCAAAAGAAAAATTCAGAATGAATACCATAACTAAAGAATTCTTACTGGTAGTTGCATTACCAAAGAT